ACCTTTAAAAAACTTAAAGTATTATCACAGTAGTTTACACATGAGTTATTGAGGGCACTGTTTGGATCTTAGGTTGTCATTCCTACTGGTAATAAGTGAGAAGTCCAGAACCCAGGCTGAGGTATACACAATGTAGTGAATCTGCAAGCTTGGCAGATGGGAAAAATTACCTTTTTTACTTGTCAGCTAGGTGACTGATTTGAAGATAGCAAGAGGCAATAAAAAGAAATTCCATAATGCATATTTTTGCTAAAGCAGTTTTAGAAAGAACTTGCACTGGGGAATAGAAAAATTGGTGGCTTATTGGGATGGCAAACAAAATTATATCAGAGTCTCCTGACTAAATGGAGGGATTGTTAGTGTTAAACATCACACATTTACAAAATGGAGTGCTAACATTTCTTTCAGATGACACTGGACAAACCACCTTAAAAGAAAATTGATACCATTTAAATTATTTGAATGAAGTGGCCAGATTTCAAAAGGTACTCAGCAGCCTACCACACCAGGACTGGTCTTTGGTACAGACAATGCATGATAATTTTCTTACCCCACTATCAGAATCCAGAGCGTGTGGATGGATATTCATGCCTTCCATCCATTTTAGAACAGCGTATCATGATTTCTAAAAGATGCTAAGTTGCCAGACAGGGGTTGACAGGGTTGTTTGTTAGAATTTGCTTCTTTGCATTGGTAAGTCTTGCTAAAAAAGAGTCTCTGGACTTTCAGAATCAGCAATGTACAACAACTACATGTTCCTTAACAGCATTACACACATCTTGTAACCAAAAGCTTTTAGAGTCCTACATAGTTTTAAAATTTGGGAATATTCCTAAGTTATCTTCTGACATGCTTTACTGTGTGAAACTAATTAGCAGTTGAGTGTTTAAATCAAACATTTTTCCTGAATGGGAAAGATTAAATTTACAGAGCAGGTGGAGTAGGAGGGGGAGCTGGACATTGTCCTAACAAAAGGAGTAAAATAGGTAGGGATACAAGAATAAGTGACAACCTGAAAAGAGCAACACATTCAAAACAGATATAGTCCTGCCCTGCAGAGCGGTCATACTAAATTTTCGCCTTTATGCAGTTGTAATTGTAATGTACAGGACCTTTCACTTTTAACTATGTACACACATTTTTCTTTTGCATCTCATGATTTAAAAGGCAAAGTAATATTGTAAACTGGCTAATTTGGAAGAGAGCAGTAAGCCCTAGAAAACAGTCATCTTTTCTTCTTTCCTTCCTTCCTGCATTCCTGCCTTTTTTTTTCTTTCTTTCTTTCTTTCTGGAGATTCAGATGGAGAGTTTTAAACATACAAACTAAATCTAGCTACCCATTGATTTTAAATGGGATTTAGGCAACAAAGAACTGCCCTTTTTCACTTTAAAAAATACGTTCATCTGTTGTTTTATCTTGAACAGACAGAAAGAATGATAACACTGACTGTAAATAAGCAATTTTAAATAGACTATTTACTTCCTCTTTAGGCTAAATTCTGTCCACAGATAAAGTGCATGACCTCAAGTGAACCCAGGAAGTTTTATAGGTCTTCATCTGGGGAAAAAATTGTCTCTGAATTCAGATAATTATTCTGTTATATGTAAAGTAAGGAAGGGTTAGGGTTGCAGGAAAGTTAGGAAGTTAATACACTTGTATTTATCTTTATGTGCATCCGGAGTTCCATATAACCTCATAATAAATGTAAAAGTATGGAATTAATCCATTTATTCCTCTGCAGTTTGCAATAGGCTATATAGGCCAGTAGTTAGTGCACTGGATTATCCTGTATTTACCTACTCAGATTCCAAATTCTTAATCTAGACATCCTTTTCCCTATTCTTGTCTAGATAATTTATTTTTATTCTAGATTGATTTCAATAAAATAACATACTCATCCCAAAGGCTGATTTACATTGATTAGACAAAGCCTGAAGGATGTACTTCCCTCATCAAACATACAGAATATCTATTTAAAACATTAATTTTGTCTAGTAACAGTCACTTTTGTTCTCAGAACACATAGTTAACATGAATCAGATATTGCAGGTATGTTACTGTTCTTAAAGTTTTCACAAGGAAGGTCTTATTTTCTTCAGAAAATCTCCCAGTAATCACTGTTGCTGGAAATGCTTACAGATTATGTGTGTCAATATTAGACAGGCATTTGAGGTGGTGACATATGATTTATACAGGAAGACTGAATGAACCATGACTACATTATATGTCAAATGTTCACATGACAACTCTTCTTCAACAAAGTGCAGGCCCGAGCACTGAACAAGGTTTCTTATGCAAAATTTCCTAAGCTACATACGAGATGTAGACATGATGCTTCATACATTTATTAGATTAAAAATAATTCAAGGGCTTAAATGTACATGTGGCATATGGCTTAATGATACTGATAAACCATATTTCACAGTTTATTAGTTAATGTGATTACTAGCAATAACCTAATTGGCATATGTAGGTAAAGTTTTCATGTTGGGTATTCACATAGCTGAAAAGATACAGAGAAAAGATAAAAAGATAAAATTTCTAAGTTTTTTAAAAGCATAGAATTTAACTCTTACCTATTTGCCTCCTGACAATCATGGCTCAGTCCTGAACACAGGACTACTTGTGTCTGACAATAAACTATTCTAACTTGTAAGTTATTTGATGTCCCTGTATATCTTGCCATAAGAATTCTCCACAGGTTCCAATACAGGTATAATCATTATTTTCAGGTAACTAAAATTGCTGCTAAGTAGGTACCATCAAATGAAATTCTTCAGTGATCGAATAAGATTTCACCCTGATCAAACAGGACAAAATTTGGTAAACAAATCCGTGTCCTTTAGTAGAGTCAATACACTCATGCCAGTTTGCAAAGCAGTAAATGATAGCATTAATCCAGAAATGTATAAGGGTGTTAAAGTAGCCATTGACAAAATGCTGCTTTTATGTACACAAAATGAAATATAATGTAATGCTTTATAATCAGTAATTATATATTTTTTAATTTTATAATTAATTTTATATAATTTCCAGGCAGAAATGTTCTCCAGAAAGAACGTTCTGGTGTTCTCATGTCAAGAGTAAGACTGGAGCTTGGAAAAGGACCTGAGATCTTCAAAAGCAGACTGAGATGCAGACATCAAGTCTCACTAACAGTTAAAGTGATGAATATGTAACTGATACAGAGTCTTTAGAAATTTTTGAATTTCTTTAACAACAAAACAGCGAATGTAAAAATGTAAAAAGTAGACCCCTGAGGAGGTTACACCTTGCTCTCCTGAAGTCCAGGGTCACAATCTTACATTTTGCCCTGTTTCTTCCTCATAAGATCCTGAACTCCACCATATCATAGTCACTGCAGCTACGGGGCTGCCCCCTACCTTCACATCTCCAACTAGTCCTTCTTCATTCATTAGTACAAGGTCCAGCAGCATACCCCTCCTTGTTGGCTTCTCCACTAACTGTGCCAAAAAAAGTTGTCATCAATGCACTGCAGGAACCTCCTGGACTCTGTGGGCCTAGCTGTGTGATCTTCCCAGCAGATATCAGGGTGGTTGAAGTCCACCACGAGAACCAGGGCTTGGGACTGTGGGGCTACCGGGAGTGGTCTGAAGAAGGCTTCATCTACCTCCACTTCCTGATCAGGTGGCCTGTAGCAAACACCCACAACAGTGTCAGCCGTGGTAGCCTGCCCTTTAATCCTTACCTATAAGCACTCAACTCACTCTTTGTTCAGCCCTGGGCAGAGGTCCACGCATTCCAGTTGTTCTCCTGTGAGAGAACTGTGCTCTATTGTTCTCTTGCTGTTCTCTTCTGTTCTCTTGTAAAGAGCAACTCTACCACCTTGCCTTCCTGTCCTGTCTTTTTTAAAAAGTGCGTAGCCTTCCATGATAGCATTCCAGTCATACGAGCTATCCCACCTCGTCTCTGTGACTGCAATTAGATCATAGCCTTGTGACCACATGCAGCTCTCCAGTTCTTCCTGTTTGTTACCCATACTAAGTGCATTAGTATACAAGAATTTCAGGGAGCTGAAACACCCATTGCTAAAATGCTTAGTCATTTTGCCCCTCTCTGCCACTTACTCATCCTCTTTCCCCAGTACAACTCCTTTCAAACTATGATTTCTGCTTTTTCCTTATCTCCCCCATTTATCTTTTTTCTTGGTGATTTTTCCCAGATCTGCTTAGATCTCCTTACTTTTCCCACCATCTGGCTAGACAGCTGTTACTGATATCACTGAGTGAAAACAGCTGTTTAGAACCTGATTTTACCTGTGGTTTTCATTCTCTAAGGGACAGGAAATTCTGAAGATCAGGACAGATGAAATGATGTATGAAACAAACCTTGATGCTTTAGAGAAAACTGATGTGGTATAAACATTCTGCAATGGCAATGGATAGGCCCAGCATAAGCAGAAATCTCATGAAGATAATATACAAGTTATCAACTACAATGGGATAACTATTAACTATTTGGTAAATTAAAGGCAGGCTGTGCTCTCTGTCTCTTGGCATCTCCAGAGGTATGAGATAAAAAGGAAGTACAACTCTGACCCAACACAGCAAAATGGATGTGAAATGAAACAGTTGTTTCAGCAATAATTGAATAGACAGTTGTTTCAGCAACAGAATAAAAAATCAGAATACCTGTGTCAAGTATATGCAACCTGATTTTGTTCCCCATTTGATTTGCTTTCTGCCTGCTCCAGCACAATTCTTGCTCCAGTAGGGACCAAGTCCTCACAGCCCTGGACTCCACGAAGTGTAACAGATGCATATTCAAACACAGCCTGCTTAAACACTGATGTAATCACACAAACTGTTCAACATGATGTGATGAAAGCACTTTATCAGAATGTTTTAATAATTAAGACTGAAATCCAGGATGTTTAGCTTTAGATCTCTGAACCATTCTGGATATAGATGTAGTCTGTCGTATAAATCTTATTTATAATGCAGAGCCAAACAGACAAAAATCTTATAAAACATCTCACCAGATTCTTCAAATTCACTGTTGTATGCATTCCAAGTTTCACTTATACGTAGCAGATTTTCTTCCATGGCTTGAATGTCCATGTAGGGACAGTTGCACTCTGGGAATTTGGGGCCACACTGACACCAGCAGTCATTGTCCTTGCAGATGAACTCCCCCTCTGAATTGCAGGCAATATAGCTCAGAGCTGCCTGGACAAAATGTTCTTGAAGATACTCAGGGAGGATGACTTGAAGACCTGAAGGAAACAGAGTAAGTACTGTGTTATTAAACCCAAATGTATATTCAAGTCAAGCAATTTCCCGTACCTATATAACATGGTAATAAATAAATAAATAAACAATAAGCTAATAATAAGCTACAAAAATAAACTATATCATTTACTTAGGACAATTTACATATATGTCAAGCATTTGCACCGTGTCATGCATTTCCTTACCTAAGAATTAATTTCAGATATATACTTTACATTCCTGTCTCATTATGGAACATCCATTCCAGTAGATAGTAACTTGTGTTCCTCACATTGTATACTAGTGTAATTTCTTTTTTCTTTTACAAACTCAGCTGTAGGAGCTTTTCAGTAAGGAAACATGCAGATGAATTACAATACTGATACTATGCAGCTAATACAAATTCTGGGAGTGCTGGAGGGAAAGCAGCTTTGAAAGACAACAGTGAGAGTAAAGGGGATGTATAACCAGAAGAAAAGAGGTTTGAAGACAAACATTTCCATTCTGTATTGGACTTGTTTTCCATGTTGGCTTTGACGTAAGTAGGTATGCCTGAAGTACAGAAATGTCTAAATTACTCTAGTTATTTCTCCATGATTCTGTAGACACAAACTAAGAAGAATCAGAAAATTGAACTGTAGGACATTTTAGGAAAATAAAATTAAAATAATATTTCATTTTGTAAAACATCAATACATAATGGCCTATTTTCAGCAAGGTATTGCAAAAATATGTGTACAATGATTCGTTATGACCAGTAACTGTGTCAGTTTGAGCAAAATCAGATAAACATCAGTTTTGTTATTGATTTTTTTTTTTTGCGTGCATGCATTTATAATGTGGTTTACCCCTATTTCATCTTTCAGTACTTTAAGCAGACTTTGCAGGATGGGACCTCATCCATCACCACACAAAGTCCTCTGAATACAACATGCATTGGAATTAGCTCAAATCAGGTGTTATCAAATAGATGTTTACACTCCTACAGGATTTCAGAATGCTAAGAGACGGTTAGCTGGATGTTCTGGGTACAGCTATGAAACCCTAAGAAACAGAATTCATTCTTAAATCAACTAAAACTTTAGCATGGAGAAGGGATGGAAGATCTAGCTACCATGTTGTTTAAAAAATTAGCATGCTATGTCCCAAATCCCTTTGCAAACCATTTTCACACTTCATGACAGGTAGAAGCCTTATAAAATCATGTTTCACATGTATCAAAATGTATGTGGTTCAGATGTATCAGAACCACAGAGCACGAAAATCAAAAATTCAGAATGTCTGTGACCAGAAGTTTATTCATCTGAAAATTTTTACCACTGTTAACATGATTTCACTGATGGGAATGAGTATTTTATACAGAAGCATTGTAAATTAATTGTAGCCATCAGTCCTTTAGCTACAACAATAGTCAGAAACAAACAAACAAAAAACACGCACAGCACTATTTTTGATTTATTACATGTAGCTATATTCTGAAGTAAAACTAATTTTTCAGGAACCAGTGGGGCTTATTTGTAGGCCAAGTAATTTCTCAGCATATTAAATGTTAATTTATGATAAAGGGTACTTGGACAATTTCATAGAGATTTATTCCTAATTTTAAGGTAAATAAAAAACATATAACAGTAATTTTATGACCTTTCCAAGTAGAAAGCCATATTCAAATTCATTATAATATTGCTAAAACTGTGTCTGTTCGTGCTTTCTTCTGCATCATATCAAAACTTGTAAAACTCTTGTAAAACTCTTGACTATAGTTTTTAATGTACCGGTATATTTGTGAAAACCCTTGGTATTATGAAAGTAAAAGAAAGCCCAGATAAGCAATCCCACCTTGTTCAATTCCTACATAGTAAGCATGAAATAGTCTAAGCAGTTCTGACACTAAATTTCTTGTGACAATTTAATGGCATGTGTAAAACTGTTCTCTGACTGATGTGAGGATTGATTTCCAAATTTTAACTTAGAAACATTGCGCAAATGCTGCAGACCATTAAAAATGGCTTTTTTTTTTTTTCCTGGAGATATTTCATTGCATTTCAATGAAAATGACAAGTTCTTTTAAAAAATAAAAATCACATATATATAAATATATCGTCTGTGAAATCATTGTTTGATTTAATGGCTTTATACCTATTCTCACCTTCTGGAAAGAGAGAGGTAAAGCAAAAAACAACCCTCTCCTCCTTCCCCCCCCCACCCAAAAAAAAAAAAAAAAAAAAAAAAAAAAGGATGTATTAGACAAGAAGATAATCTTTCCCAGACAATCTTATTAATCAGCAACAACTTCACACTATATGTCCAACTGAGATATGAACCAATAGTAATTTTAATTACAGCTGGAAATAATTGTGAAGCTACCTGTAAAAGCAAATTGAGAACCATATTCTTCTCTTCTTGTATATACACGGGTATACACAAAAACATAAGTTAGTCTGTTTTCAAAATAATAATAAAAAAGTTGTTCATGTTACATTTGTGTAACTGAAACAAACAATAATTAGTAAGGGCCCTAGAGGTTCACTTTCAAAAATGTTTAGGTGCCTAATCTGCAATATGGGGTATGCATCTGTTGGAATTAACAACATATGAATTAGAAATTAATCCTCTTTATATATATATATAAATATATATATTCACTTTTCCTTTTTCTTTTTCTTTTTCTTTTTTTTTTCTTTTTTTTTTTTTCTGTTGTGTGAGATGTCTAAACTTCCAGGTTTTCTTAAAAGTCCCAGAGGAGCCTTTGGACTCTGCTTTATTCAAAGCCTTTGTGTATTTATGCCCTGCTCCTCCAGTGACTACGTTTGTTCCAGTGGGATGACTGCATGACGTATATGCCACTACTCAAAATGTGCAAAGCAGGCTGAACACATTAAATGTCATTCCCTGCTTGGTAGAATCCGTGGGAATTCAAGCTTTGTAAAAGGTGAGCAAGTCATTGCTAAATAAGGCTGTAAAATGTTAACATTATTCAGATTATATTCTGATGGGCACAGAAATTGTTTCTATTTCAAAGGCAACATGAGTTACTGACATTTCTTTCACTTTCCCTAGAAGATACTTATTGGGGAAGGAAAAAAAAAAAAAAAAAAGAAAAAAAGAAAATGACCTTTCATGAGGTGGAAAAAATAAAAACAAATAGTATGATAAATGTCATCCTGTTCCAAAACAGATTAATGAAATTGTACCTACATACCTTGCAACTGAATCTTATTTTCAGGACTCTGAACCAGAACAGAACTGACAGAATCTAGGTTGTCATAGTTACTGCAGCCAAGAGGACCAGTCCGCGTTTCTGTTACCTGATGGTAAGGGAATGGAAAAGCATTTGCTGCATTATTCAAAACAGACTGAAGAGTTCAGAAGCTTGTTGCATAAAGTTTCCCTTTAATTCAGCTGTCTGTACATTTCAGACTTAAGGTGAAATATCTCATTTTATATATGACAAGTATGATTGTAAATGTTTTACCAGTACAACAAACTTTGGAAAGTGCTATTTCTACAGCAAGGAATCACTACAAGTGACCAACAGTCTACAGATGATTTATTTCTTCATAGCTATAGAATTAATTTAATAAATATGGTTCATAAAAATGCAGACTATGATTTTCATTGATGAAACTTGTGCACATGGCAGCTCCCTGCTGAAATCATGAAAAAACTTTGATTTCTTCTCTATAGCACAGCAGGACTCAGAAGTAAAAATACTTTATGAGCTGCGCTTACAATGGTGATGCTGGGTTATCTTTCATCTGGGAAAGATCTAAAATAAGATTAGATGTAAGACTCTAGACATCCTGCCTACTGTAATCACAGAATCAATGACCACAGGATCAAAATACATCTAAATTTATCAAAACAGTATCACCACAAATAAAGCTTTGTGTTAGCAGTGGTGGGTTGTGCTTGGCAACATGCAGTTTGTTAAATGAGTAAATACATTATTAATAATAATAACAATAATAAAGGCAAGTGATTTATATACGTTATGGAATATTATATATGATACTTAAGTGTCAAAAAAAAAAAAACGATTAGAAAAGCTAACTTCTTTTTAAATGCCATAGTAAGTGAAAAAAATAGGGCCTAATCCAGTTTCTCTGCAATTAATTGCTACAGCTCTTGAAGCTCTTCAGTGATGCCCTGAGGGCATGCTGGCAGCTCCACAGCCAGCCAGGCAGTGTCTCAATGGCTATTATAGCTTCTATACGTAGCTGAGGAAAAATCTCAAATACTTAGGACAAGTGGGTATACCAAGATCTCACTTTTTTTAACTGGATTGGATGCTGTAGAAAATTCATGGCTTTGGAATTCCTTCCCCTTTTCTTAAACTACTGAGATTATCTATACATTGTTTCATATTTTCCAAGCCCTAAAATTTTAATAAAATAAGTGTGAAATCTTATGCTATCCCAAGTTATTGGCCCCTTTCTTTTACTCTGAACTAGTATTCCTGAGAAATGAGAAGGATTTTGCAATGCCATCAGCCTGTGGGGAGAACACGCTGAAAGGATTTCAGCCAAATCTGCTAGCAGAGTGCCAGCCATGCAAGGAAATAAATGTAGTCAGGATCTCTACTCCCTGCCCAAATTTGGCAGTGTCTGATATTTATGCCAAGGCCAGATTTACCTCGTTTTTTTTGCTTAATCATCCTGAATCAACATAAAAATTCTTGCATGGGTATCAGATTTGTGTGGGACACAGCCAGAACAACAACTTTGATTTATCCGTGACCCTCCAGGCCCTTTCCCTTCTCCCAAGTGATCAGAGTTTCATTCTAAAATCCCATTTTCTATAGTACCCTCAGCCCATATAAAGAATACTAAACTGTTCATATAGTATCAAAGACAGGCATCTACATTAAATAAGATAAATAACCAGAAGAAAATAGGACTGAAGGTAGTTATAAGTTTTATCCTATTTCTGAAAGATTATGCTAAGCATTTATCTCTGAAATTCTTTATATAAAGATCCATTTATTTTTTCATTTTTTTTAATTATTATTTTCAATCATTTGTTTATAAGGCAATGCAGCTTCATGAATTCATCTGAAATGTAGGAACTATAAAGACAGTTTTACAAATTCCTATTCATTCTGTTTATTCTTATGCTTCCTGCAATTACAAAATAAGAAAGGTTAGTAAGTAGTTGTACAATTATAATATCTCATTTTTTTCATGTCAGTCTTCACTTGGATGATGCAAAACACAGATAGCAATAACCATTGTTTTGATTATGGAAGTGACAACACTTGGTGTATCTTGGTGTATCTAGGAAGCAGAAAGGAAATACATATCATTACAAGGTGCTTTTTTTTTTTTTAATTGTTTTCTAAGGACCAGCCAGATAAAATTTCTGATTCAAATGAAAATTAAATATATGAGGAAAAAAAAGAGCAGGGTTAGATTTTTTTGTGGACATAAACTCACGGGAAGGGCTATGTTGAACTGACAGACACTCATGCTCATGTAAGCAATAAAATATTGTTTTAAAATAATAATAATTTAAAATAATAAATAATGTTCTAAAAATAAAGCAATATAAAAGGCCTTTTTCTAAGCATTAGATTTTCACTGAAATCTATATATTTCAATTGTGCATTCTTTTACTTTTCAAAGTGCTCTAGCCTTCTTCTGTCTAATCCTTTTCTCTGGTACTTTAAACTTCTGCATACAGATCATATTGGAAAAAGAAAATAGACTGCATAGTTCCAAAATAACTCCAAACACCAAAACCAGATAAAAACAGTTACAAAACAGCCAAACTCCAGCTTTCCATGGATGGCACTTCTAGTCAGAGGCCAAAGTTACATATATCATATTATACCCTGCACAAGCCCTACTCAACAAAGATTGCAAATTGGAAGAAAAATGTGAGTAGTCAATAAATGAAATGTGGATTACATAAGAAAGCTTCAAATTTCTGACAAATTATTTGATCAAATGAAAGGATTTTATTTTGTGGAAAATCCTTTAAGTAGAAAAGTAGACTACAAGGGGAAAAAAAAAAGATGGGGGGGGAGGTAGAATCCAAATGAGTTGATTCTGTCTCAGTGCAGGTGTTACTAAAATCACTGATAATTTTGCATTTTCTGTCTGTCAAAGGAAGAATATATAATGATAGAAGAAACATTGGAAAGGAATTGGCACTTCTTTAAGTATGTTCCAAACACAGAAGTATGACTATATTCAGTTCCAGGATCACAGCTGAAGTGTTTTGTCTGAAGGTGTACAATAAAAGCTAAGTCAAAAACAGGAGAGGGAAAGTTAAAATGTAAATATTGTATGCTAAGATGCTAGTATAGTCCAGAAGTGATTGCAGATGAATAAAGACAAATAAAGATGAATAAAGAACACTGATTTCTAAGAGCTTGATCCAGAGTCTGTAAAGGACACTAACTCACAAAGCAAAATACAGCAGAACAGTTATTTAATAATGAAAAACCCCTAAGAACCAGTAACAAAATATTTGACGTGAACCAAGCAAGCTATTCTCAAGTGCCTTGTTTTCAAAGATTATCACAACACAGGTTTCCCTGGGCAGCAGGATTTTCAGTTCCCAGAAATAAACTGTAACATGTGGCATTAACGAGATAAATGCCTACAGTTTTCAGTCAGTTAAAACTCATAACCATGGTGATAATGACCTGATTATAAGTGCACTGAGTATGTACCTCCCAGCGCTGCTTAAGGGCTGAATTCTTGCGATATCAGTGGGTAGTATTTCCCTGGGAAACTGTACTTTTTTTTTTTGTCCATGATAATTAAGCCTATAGAAGGTTCTACTAATACGAATAAAATATATTTCTGCAGAGCTTTTTTTTTTTTTTCCCCAGGTGTTTCCTTTCAAATACACATAGCTAATATTCTTATCTACATGCCCATCCAGAGATAGTAGGCTGTCTTACATAAAGGACTGTCCTCTTTACGAAGACTCTTTTAAAATGTATTTGGCTTCTAAGGAAGATAACTAAGCACATACAGGAGAAGGAGACAATGCTAGTCACTTCAAAATAGGCAGCTGCATTCATATTCATATTACCCTCTTTAATATTTTAAACATTTAAATAGTGACTTAGAGGAAATTCCTCATATATATGTGACACCACTGTTGGAAGAAGGTATCTTCTGAATGACTGGTACATATAGAAGAATGAACAAAGGCATATCAGGAGAAGAAACCCAAGGAAAAAGACAAAATTGGAGTGATTTAATATTTTGGAGGATCATCTGATGAAGAGGAAGAACTTTTTTTATGCAAGGAAGCTAATTGTTAGGTAAAACCAGATCCTGCCACCATCACTCACTAAGTTCTTTCCTTCATAAATCATTCAGTGGGATTAATTGCATAGTAACAGCGCTTGGCAGTTCCTAAAATAATTGGAAGTCCCCAATGTAATTACACATTATCAGCAATCAGACATAAGAGTTAACCTAGACACAATGGCGTCCATAGTCCAGTAGTGCTGCAAGGGGGCAAGGATCACTTAATGGTGGTAGGCAAAGGTCTGTAAGGGGTAAATCATACCTGTGAGCTACAAAACCTATACATTTTTTTTTATACATTTTTATAAAAAAATGTATATATGACCTTGATATGGAACAGAAGATTCACGAGGGGCTGCCTGGCTGGATGTTATCACAGCACATATTTTTCATCCCCTATTGTCTTTAGAATTTTTCTGCATGACTCCCTGTCAACCCTACCTTAAGGACTTGTCTTCCAGCCCATGTTTCCTCACCTTGTCATCCCTGTACATTCAAGTCAATACTCATTTCACTTTAAGAAAAGTTGATCACATGAATAAGACCTTACTGTATTTTCTGTTTAGAAGTGGCTCTCCTGCCAATGCAGTGGGGTGGTTTCATGCTGATGGACAGCTAACATCCACCCTGCTACTCTCTCACTTCTCAAAAGAACAGTGGGAGAAAATATTATGAAAAGAGACTCATGGGCTGAGATAAGGAGATCACTCACTAATTATTATCATAGGCAAAACAGATGCAGCATAGGGAGCTTCATATATTTTATTGTCTATTACTAGCAGATTAACTAAAAGTAAACTAAAAACCTTCCATTACCATCCACCTTCTTCTACTTCCTCCTTCCAGGTGGTACAGTGGAATAGGGAATGGAGGCTGTGGTCAGTCCATAACGCTTCGCCTCTGCCACTCCTTCACGGTCACTCCCTGCCCCTGCTCCACGTAGGGTCTCTCACACAGGATGCCATTTTAGGAGTTTGCTTTTTGTTGGTGGTAGGCTTTTTTGTTGTTTTTGTTTGTTTCTTTGATTTTAGAATTGC